TGTAGCATGTATCATTATTTAATTCTTTTTTATGACCACATAATATTCTATTGCATGGATATACTACATTTTGTTTATTCATTTGTCTGTTGATTGGCATTGGGGTTCCTTCTACCTTTTGGCTATTGTGAATACAGCTGCTATGAACTTTCATGTAAGATAATGCATGTTTAATGATTGGCGCAGAGCCTTCCAGGCACCCAAATGCTCAATACCAGCAGGTAGCTATTAACCTTACTATCAGGGAGTGTGACATTGGGTGATTCAGGGCACAGGGTGTCTGGATGTCAGAAATGGAAGACAGAAGGTACCATGGACAATATTCACTTACTGCACGATGTTGCTAAAGGCTGTCTATGCCTACCACATTCAGATGAATAAGGCAGCATGGCACAGAGGCATAAGCACAAACTCTGCTCTACCACCTTCTAGCCGTGTTACTCTGGGCAAGCCACCTAACCTCTCTCAGCCTTGTGTGTGAATTAGATATAAATATTGTCTTTTCTACTTACCTCACAGGCTTGCTGTCTGGGTCAAAGAGATAATTTAAAAATATAAAACCACTTTGAAAACCACAAGGGATTATTATTCCAAGCCTTACATATTACAGACACTAATTCCTCTTGAATAAAGTAAGAAAACACTCTGCTCACCATCTTTCCTCTCTCTCTAGATTGTTCACATTCTCTTCAAGATGACACCCTGGCCTTCTCACCACAGCCCCTGCTACTAGTCCCTCTTTCCTTGCATCTACTTAAGGGCCAAAAGCGAGGAGCCTGATCCTGAGTAAAAATCTGAATTCACATCAACAAGGGGTCTGCAGTGGCTCTTTCCTCCCAGGTTGAAATCTGTATGACCTTTCTGGTTTTCGCGATCTCTAGTTAGGTAGAGCACCCTCGTGTGTCTCTACATGGTAATACTTTAGGTCTTTTCCAGGAGGTGACATTCTTTCCATGGCAGTATCAATAAAATGTGTAATGGAAATTTTTTTTCTCATCACACTTCAGGGCCCATGTTTGATACTTGGATTCCAGTTAAGACATTGCGTCTCAAATCTTTGGCAGGTTTCCTGCTTGCACTCAGGCCTGAAGATTTCTTTCCGCTCCCTGTACACCCCTTTCTCCTTAGTCATTTTGAGAAACTCTGGTCTCATGGTTCACAGATGTCAACTTGCTCCTACCACTTATATCATTCCAAGCTTACCAAGCTCCCGAAGTAAGATCATAACTTTTTTTTTTTTCTAAAAAGTACATCACACTTTACTGAAGGACTGGAGGGAAAGGCAATTCCAAAGTACTAGGAAATAATTTTTAAAGTGTTTCCTAAATATGATTTGTTCTATAGTCTAAGGAAAAGGTATTTAAAATGTTAAACTTTCACAGGTGTCTTCTCGTGTAAAGTCCTGGCACTCGGAAAGGGGAAAGTAACAACCAGAGACAGTGATGTCTGGCACTATATGTGCATGCACTCACACACACTCAAGCATACACTCTCACACCCACATTTATACATTCTCACAGCCACACACTCTTTTGCTCAGTGGGAAAGGAGATTTCTCCTTCGTGGCTTCCTCTCTCGCTGAGAATCATGTGATGCTATCATCACGTCTTTGGAAGAAGGAAAATTTATATTTCATATCTGGAACCTCAGGAATGTTCTCTGTTCCCTCCATCAGCAAGGGTTATAGAAGCCTGGGGAACTTTACTTCCCATGTTCCCCTCTCGCCTGTTGAATCCATGTTTTTTTTTTTTTTTCTGCACCCATAAGCTCCACTGGCAAATTCCACTGAGAGCTTCTGGCTTCCACCCAGGAGCATGTTCCTGAAAAGCTTTGTGTAAATTAATTTTTTTGCAGAACAAGTATATTCCTCACTGACTTCCAGTAAGATTTCTGAGCTGCTCTCTCTTCAAAACTGATTTTCCGTATACGCCCAACACTTCAGCTTTAGGTTCCTCTGCCTCTTGCCATCCTCTCTGAGAGTTACTTAAATCTCATCTGGAAAGTGAAGAAATGACCAACAAAACATTAAGATCTCTTCTAGTTCGAATAGTCCAGGGTCTATAAACAAACCCGTAAATACATTAGAGAGGATGCTATTTGGAAAAGATACCAGGTACCACCATTTCAAATGCAAACATTCACCCTACATCTAACTTTTTGGGAGGCTATTTCCCAGGGCTTGACGGGGTTTTGCCCACTCCCTTGGAGGGCAGCAGCTGCCTCAGGTGATTAGCATCTTCATTTCAGGAGGGTCTGTGCTATCCCTTCCACTTTCAGCTCCCTCTACCTCACTTCCAGGTATCAAATTCCCGAGACGGTCTCTACTGAAATAGAGATGGATGCCGGAATTCTGGGGAAATGTGTATGTAGCTGGTGACCTAGGGTATAAAGCACTTGCCAAGTAAAGATGAAATGAGCTGCTAGGGAGGCTCTGTGGCTTTGGTCTCCGGCAACAAAGTTAAGCAAAGGCACGTGTGTCCTGGGTCTATGGTGCTGGTCAGGTGCAGTCTTTGAACTGGAACAAGAGATTTTATTAATGCTGATAGGGAAGGGAATTGCCTGCTTAGCGGTGAGGAAAATTAATAGTCCAAGCATTCTTCCGTCCTACATTCTCCATGCTGGCATTTCGATTTAAAATATATATATTGCTGCAGCTGTTTGCATATTCTGGAAGTGTATGTGCATGTGTGCGGTTTGGTGTTTACAGATTTGGGGTTGTGGAGGGGAGTTTCCAGAGCAACGGAAGTAGCTGCTTGTCAGTCAGGGTTCATTTTGAAAATGAAAGCCTGAAAGCTTGGGGCCCACTCTGGGCCTGGGCCTGGTCTTTGAGAAGTCAGCAAAGATCAGGAGGTGGCTTTGGCTCGTCAGCTCAGTGAATGAACCACTTGATCACTATTATTTTTTTAAGGAATTAACCAAATCTATTAGTTGCTTTTGGTGTCCTGCAGATTCAGTCTAAGGCAGGAATGTGGGAGTGGACATCAAGGCTCTGGCTGCTGACACTGGCCAAACACACATGCATAAAATGCCCCACACCACATATACACACAATCACATTTTCCAAGACTGCCAAACGAAAACAAGGTAAAGAATATTTCTCGCACACGTACTAGGTGCACAAGGATTGTATGACATGGTCATCAAAGAGTTAGAGTTTATGTCAGAACCAGGGGAGAGAAATACAACACAAGGCAGTCTGTATCAGGTGCCAAAGGAGTAATACAAACAGACAATTGGGGGAGGGAGAGGGATCGCTCTAGGCTGTGGTAATTGGAGGAGGCTTACTGGAGAAGTTGGAAACTGAGGCCAACCTTGAAGGACAGGGACAACTTCACTAGACGGAAGTTGTGAGGGGGGACATTCTAGGTAGAGGAGGGCAAGTTCAAGATATGTTCAGGTTAGGACAAGTCCATCTGTTTGGCTGGAACTTGGGAGTTGTGTGAGTGATTTGCAGTCGATAAGCCTGTCTTGAATGCCAGTCCCTCTGTGCCAGAACAAAAGCTATAGTGTCACATAGACCTGCTCTGTCACTTCCTGCTAGGTGACCTTGGGCAAGTGGCCTAACCTCTCTGCAAACTGAGGATAGTAATGATACTTAGCTCTTGAGGTCATTGCAAAGATTAAAAGTGTTAACATGTATAAAGCATCTAGCAGTGTCTGGCACATATTAAATGTTCGAAAATGGATTACAAATGCATAGACCGTCATGAAGGAAAGCTCAAGGTATTTAGGGCTGATTCCAAATATCTGAGGGCCAAGGAGGAAAAATCTCTGATACCTTCTATCGCTGTTGCGCCCAGTGGCTTGGCTTGGCCTCAGCCCCCGGTCCCCTGTGGCCTAGACTGTTGGACAGCCAGCCTCCTGGCTTCCTGCCTCTGCTTCCCTCAGAAACATCTTCCTAAAAAACACCTTAATCATGGCCGTGTCCCTCTCTGGCTCAAGAACCTTCTATGACTCCAGGTTGCTCATTGGCTGAACTCCCTAACATGGGGGCGGGGAGGGCAGGAGGCAGGAGCTATCTTTTATTAAGGGAAGGAAAGAGCAGAGAAGTCTAGTGTTAGGAGTAAACGCGTACAATATCCTCTTCTTTCTAAAGCCCCTAAGCTCTGAATTCGCAGAAATCAGGGCCCCCGAG